GCGTGAGGCCTGAGGTCTGTGTCTGGAGAGGGAGACAAACCCTGGTGTTAACATTAGCTGTTCTTCTTGCTAGGAGCCCAAAGAATCTCTTTTTCAGAGAAGGCATTGGGAAAACAAATTAATGTAAGGTCGCCTGCTTGCTGTATTGCTGTTCATTTCTTTTAGTAACATCTTTTATGTTTCTGACTCCAAAATTAATATCAGTTTATTGGAAAAAACCCTGAAAAGTAGAAGAAAGGAAAGTTAAATCATCCACATTCCCACACTCCAACAATCATCACTATTGATATTTCAGGCAATTTTCATTCCGTTTGCTGTTTCTTAACCAAAATTTGGTGGTGGTGATGGTTTATTTGGTTGCACGAGTGAGGAGCAGAGAGAACCACAATGTCACACTTCCCCTCGGGTGTAGAAGGGGACCAGCCACTGTGGGAGAAAATGACCTCATGGCGTCCCTCCTCTTTTCCATCCTCCCTGTCCTGCCAAGGTTCATCTCTGACCATCCGGGACCAGGCCCAGCTGGAAGGAAAATCATACAGGCGTCACATTTACAGCCTCCAGGAGAGGCTCGTATTTTAAAAGAAAGTCTGCTCTTGACTTCAGTGCCCCAGAGCCCCTGACCAACCAGTGTGGGCATGTGTATCAGTCAGAGTTGGAGACATGAACACAACCTCAGAATCCCAGTGGCTTAGAGTAGCAAGTACTTCCTCTGTCTGGGGCCTGCAGGTCATCAGGTCCTCTGTCCACGGCTCCAGAATGTGAGTCAGATCCAGGGAGTTCCACGTGCCTCTTCTTGTCCTCGGACCTGCAGCCACCTTGACACGCTCTCCTGCTGGTGAAAGGCGAGCGTGCCGGAGAATGAGTGGAAACACACAACGCCGCCTCTCTGGTCCTCTGCTCAGATGGAGGCACTGTCCCTTCCACCCACGTTCTGTTGGCTGCAGCAAGTCACGTGGCCAGACCCAACATAAAGGGGCAAGGAAATGAGCTCCGGCCACTTTGCGGGGAGGCACTGCACAGTCATCACTAGATGACGGGCATTGGCAAATTCTGACACAGGGCAGAAGAGAAGAATTGGGAGTGATGGTCAGGTCTCCATCAGGTGTACCCCAGCTCTAGCCAGGCTGCTTGTTCACGGGTGCTCCAAAGGCACCCAGTGTTTTTTTTTAATTGAAGTATAGCTCATTTATAGTGTTGTGTTAGTTTCAAGTGTACAGCAAAGTGACTCAGTTATACGTACATATGGACATATATTCTTTTTCAGGTTATTTTCCATTATAGGTTATTATAAGATATTGAGTAGAGTTCCCTGTGCTATACAGTAGGTCCTTGTTGTTTACCTATTTTATATATAGTTCTGTGTGTATGTTAATCCCAGACTACTACTTTATCTGTCCCCCTCAGCCCCCCATCCCCTTTAGTAACCATAAGTTTGTTTTCTATGTCTGTGACTCTATTTCTGTTTTGTAAATAAGTTCATTTGTATCCTTCTCTTTAGATTCCACAAATAAGTTATACCATATGATATTTGCCTTTCTCTGTCTGACTTACTTCACTTAGTATGATAATCTCTAGGTCCATCCATGTTGTTGCAAATGGCATTATTTCATTCTTTTGATGGCTGCATAGGATTCCATTGTATAAACATACATCACATCTTTATCCATTCATCTGTTGATGGACATTTACGTTGCTTCAAAGAGCCCCAATATTTATCTAACTCTGGGCCTTTTTACATGCTTTTCCTCCTGCCCTGCACGCTCTCTTTATTCCTTTTTCCCTATTTGAATATGAACATCTTTCAAGGCAAAGTTCCAACTTTGACTTCCTCTGTAAGTCTTCCTTAATCATCTCGGTTCACAGTGAGTTCTTCCTCTCTGAAAACCTGTAGAACTTAGCTCATCTTACATTTATGCAGTGTCTTATATGGTTCCCCCATCTACAGATATATAGCCATCTACTTATATTTATCTTTTCAGTGTGATAGAAAGATTCATAAGAACAGTGATATTTTACATGCAAAGGGTACTCACAAATATTTACTCATGGATTGATAAGTGTTTGTTTGATTTACTCTTTATTCCAGAAAGGCGATATTAAAAATGTAACATATTTGCTGTTTCTGTCCTATCCTGCTGCTCTCAAATCTTGCATTTTCAGAAGCTGTGAGAAAAAGAGGCAGGCTGTAACTGAAAGTCTCATTTCCCTTTTTTTTTTTTTTTTTTTTTTTT